AAGCTGCCGTGAGAAAGGTGACTCGATGCCGGCTGTTGTAGGTAATTTCTGGGGAGACCTTGTGTGTAATCAGCTTTTTGCTCATGTTCTTTATTTGGGTCACTTGTGGGTAGCTTACATTTTTTTGCCTTAAAGTCTGTTCATGGTTTTACATTCGTTCCATAGTGGTAGTTGCAATGTCACGGAGAAGCTTGGTGCTGAAGAATAAGCAGAGGTTGAGGTTAAAGACCTCGGGCAGCTGTTGGTGGCAAGCTTCACCTCTTCCTCCCTGCAGGCTTGTTTGCTGGGTTTAGGTGCCAGACGCCTTTGACCTCTGTGGTGTTTGTCCGAACGCAGGTTTTCAGGGTCAGGCAATACTAGGAACAAAACTGAGTAGCTGTACAACTTCTGTTTTAAGCGATTCTTCTTGAACTTTTTCTAGTCTATGCAGACGGTAGTATATGTCTGGATATTCTTCAGAACCGCTGGAGCCCAACTTACGATGTCTCCTCCATCTTAACATCCATACAGGTAAAAAACTCGGCGTGACAAGGCAGATTGGAATTAGGGTGCTTTGACAAAAGCAGCTGGGGAAGCCATTTCCCCTTCCCCCTGCCCCTGTAGCCAGTGTAGCAGTGGTACCTTGATACCTGCTCAGGTGCGAACGCTTCCCGGGTGTGAGCTGGCCAGGCAGTGACAGCAGGCGGGTGGGCACTGCAGGACCCAAGGCGCGATGGCTCTGCTTGGGTCGTGCTGCTGGGCTGTTGGTTATGCAGCCGCCTGCGCTGCGGAGAGCAAGAGCGATAGCGACGGCTTCCGGGAACTCGCAGCTGGTCTCGGTACCTGGGTCGAGATGAACTTCCGCACCATTACTAGTACGGGTAGTTCAAGGAACGTGTCAGCAAGCCATGCGTGCTTTGAAGTGCCTAAGAATCTCTTTCTCTTTGCGCAGTCCCTACTGGATGAGCCAAATCCGAACAGCCCAGCGAACAGCCAGGCAGCTCAGCTATACCAGGAGAACAAGCGGGAATACGAAAAACGGGTCTCTGCAATAGTAGAACAGAGCTGGCGTGACTGTTGACCCAGGATGATGCAAATGAACACTCTGTGATGAGGAAAATAAACAAAGTGTCCGAGTCATCTTTTTCCTCCTAGCATTTACTTTGAAAGCAGAATAGCTGTTGTGCTGTCGCCGCCCTCCCTCGCTGAAGCTTCTTCTCCTTGGACATCCGAAAGCGCCCACTTTGAAGTCACGTGTTCTGTACTTGGGTTACTTGCAAAAGAGTTACTGATGCTGAGTTCATTTTCTGTGGTCCCTCTCCAGTCTTAGGGCAGTATTGTGCATTTCTGTAGTGTACACTAAGCTTTTAATTGTAATTGTGTTATACACAGTGATGCTTATGTGTAGCTTGATAAAAGGGATGTTTATATACATACACGTTTTTTAACTGATATTAACTAAAGTGCTGATCTGTCCAGGCTGGTCACTTACCTCTACTCTTGGTTTAGACCCTACTGCATTTGTAAGTACTGAGTGAAGAGATGACCTCTCGTTTCCCTTTTGTATTGGTTCACCAACTCCTGACTCATGGAAAAAAAGCAACTCTGAAATTGAGTCCAATTCAAATGTTTTGTAAGACCATGGAATGCTGTTTAATTCTGCACTTCACATGCAAGATTTATGTACAGATCTACATAAATCACTACAGTTGTGGTACTTTGAGCTTTGGTTAGGGTGAGAAACAACCCCCAGCTTTTTTTTTTTTTTTATTTTAAAGGACAGGCCTGCAGAGACTGCCTCAGTACGTTTCTGTATCCCTGTCCCTGAGTCATTACTGGACAAAAGGAGGTAGAGCTGTGGTACACTGAGTGAAAGGCCTTCCATGTTGAGGAAGAAGTAAACCCTGAAGCGTTCCAGGGGTGGAATTGCTCTCCTTCCATGTCTTCCTCCTGCCCCTTATCTTCAGCTGAGAAAGATAAAGTACTTTGGGATCCAACTTTGCCTTGGGGAAAGTTACTCGAAGAAAGCGCGGGGTAGGCACTGGAGTCTCTGCAGTTTCTGCTCTTTGTAGATTACGGTGTGGTTTGTGTGAGCTACTGCTGCATGCTTGAGTTAGTTTCCCTTCAGTTTTATGGAAGTATTTTTTCAATTCTGAAAAAAACCCTTTGTAAGTCCTGACTCTTTTTTGGAAAGGCCAAGTTTGTATGTTGGGATACAGTACCTGAAGCAGCAGTGTGGGATGAAGCCGACAATTGTGTTGTCCACTGTTCTCATGTCTGTGTGTGCACATTGGTCTGTTAGGTGAGAAGTTTAACTTTGCACAAGTAACCCATGTAAGAAACTGTACATTTTTCAGAAGTTGTAAATAAAGTGTAACCTTAGTGCTTATTGTATAAATAGGCAAGAGGTGTAGAGCTGTGGTTATTTTCCCTGGGTGGGCAGGAGGTGGCGGTGGGCTCCAGCCCCAGGCAGACACGAGCAGGAGTCAGAGGGGTCAGCGTGCTGCGGGGATCTCTGCTGCGGTGACGGGCATGAAGGACCAGCTAACGAGCAGAGAAATGGGGGGGAACAGACCCGAGTCGGAGCAAGAAAAGCACTTGCAGGAGGCTCTGCACCACGTTGAGCCTATGAGCAAATTGTTGGCAAAAAAGAGCCTGTGATGGAGTCAGTTGCAGCAGCTTACAGGGCTCAGTAATTAACTGATAGAGGAATCATACTTATTTTCCTCCCATCTTATGAGGGACAGACTGATACTTCACAGAGGCTGGTACTGCGGCTTAGCGCTACAGTTAAGGTGCAAGCTGCTGGCTCCTTCAAAGCATTAAATGGGGATTTCTACCGGCTGTGACAGCAGCTTGTCCCGCTGTCTCACGGGAGCAGCCTTTTGGGGTGACTGCAGCCAGCCGGAAGCATCCTGGCCACAGCCCTGGCACCAGCTGGAGGAATTCCTGCCACCCACTGCATGCAGAACCCTTTCTGACTCCTCCAAGACATGCTTGTGGCACAGAAGCCCTTGCAGCAGTCCCTCCATTTCCATATTTGCCTTGCCAGTCCTGAAAGAGAAAAAAGCATAGCGTGGCCTCAGGGCAGCCAGGAAGCAGCAGCACAGAACTGGAAGAAAAGCACAAAAAAAAAACCCAAACACCCCACCACCACCACACCACCTATGCTACCAGAACT